AGAGCAGTTACCAACCAATCGAGTTTAACCGGTTGAAATAGTGTACTCAATCAGCAAAAAACGAAAGGCAATTTTCTTTCAAATTAATTGTACGAAAGAGTTTTTCTCGACATGTACAACATTCTTAACGTACGTTCGACGAAAAACGTTGTTCAACGAATTTTCATTGTAATAGCATCCGTGTAGGAAAAAGCAGATGTCTTGTGGCTGAATCTCAAAAGATAATAATTGCGAAAATTGGATTGTGGATAACTGGTGTGCAGAAGTAACATGGTTTTTCGTTATGCTTATTGTAAGAAGAAACATTAGACAACAAATAAAAAGGTTAACATTTCTTCTGATTTTCCTGTGCTAGAACATAAATATTGAACCTCTTGAAATACACCAGAAAACGTTTAGTTTTAGGATGTTGTATGATCCTCTCTACTTTTTGTATTCTCTGTGGGTCTAAAATCCACCACAACCATTCATTATCAGGTCTAAATCTGAATCATGTAAAAGTTTTATTCTAAACGCGCGCTGAAAAGTATTACACTCTATGAAGTTAGGTGATACGCATAGGACTTAATTCTATAGGCTCAATCGTATATGTGTTTGTCAAGGATAATCAGAATAAATATAATGAATTCAGTCGAAGGTCAAGTGAGTCGTACCGACGAACGTTACTTGTTTTATAGCGGCAGAAACAAAATAATAACAATAAATCAGTTAGTTTTGGGGCGCATAATAATGTGTGGTTGATTTCGAACATTGTCTATTTTTTTTTATTACCCTAAGCTCATTTAAGATGGAAGGTTGTTTAAACTACATTCATTTGAGCGAAATCGGTTGAGCCGTTCTGCTGTGACAGCCTTTGCAGTGAGTACTACTTTCGAAATCTAAGAAAATGGGTGTTTCGTAAAAAATCCGCTAAAATTCGAGAATGAGGTCTAAAAAAATTTGCTTAACGTCAAAAATCATCATTTTTTATGCTCTATAACATATATTAAAATCAGCCAGATCGACAACTATCGATTGAGCATCTTCTGCTTGTCGCGGGCGGCCTTTACGCGAAATGGCTGTTAAAACCATACTGACCACATTACGAGAATGCTGATGTCCCCGTCCCCTTTTCAGAAGCCTCAATGAACTCTTTCATTGGAAAAAAGGAGACGTTGCACACGGGCGCTCCGATGTCCTTTTCTTCTCCTCCTCCTCCTTTCCTTTGCTTGTCGTCGTTGTCGGTCCTCAAGGTGAATCCATTAGTCAATTGATTTTTTTTCTTTCCGTGCCACGATAGCAACGGTAGTCAAAAACAAGAGTTGAGTTTATGTGAGTGTTTCTTCTAATGCTTCTCTTGTACGGTTCGGATTGAAGAGAGGGAGAGAAAGAGAGAATTTCGTTTATGTCATTTTCGTCAGCCAACAGTAACGTGCAAGTAAACATAAAAGGTAATTTTATTTGTGTGCTCTCACAGGAGCACAGTGCTTCAGATAGTGATACGGAGCACTGTGTTGACAGGTTATAGCCTTTTTTCGTAATACCTCAAGTGAATTTGAAGAAAGGATAGCGAAAGTTTCCATAGTAGAATTGCTAGAAAGCATTTCTTTTTCCTACAGTTCTGACATCTCTTAACTTTGTTAAACGACAGGTCCGTATAAGAAGCCTTTAAGTTGCATCAATTTATTTTATATATAATTTGAAAGTGTGATAGACGAAGAACATTTTCATACTAGATAATAGGGGGTTCTATTTTCAGGGAGAAGAGTTCACGGGCAAACAGTGCGTTAGTGTCAGACCAAACACTACAGGCGACCCGATTTCTACTTTGAGGCTGAGTTGAGAGATACTATATTGCTTATTCGAAAGCTCCTCCAAAATGCTACATTTCTATACTCTAAGTGTCCCCTCACGGATGGACACTTAGGATATAGTTTTGTAGTATAATTCACGTGTTTTCGAATGAGATACAAGACATCTCTCAACACAGCCTCAAAGTAGAAATCGACTGAGCATAGTGTTTGGTCTGACACCCCTATAGTGTCTGGCCATGAGCTTCTCTCCCTGAAGTAAAAGCCTCCTATTGTCTAGTATTAAAATGTTCCTCGTCTCTCACACTTTCTAAATATATATAAAATGTATCGATACAACTTAAAAAGTCCAAATAGCCCAAAAAGACTTCTTATACGGATCTGTCCTTTTCAAATAAGTGATAAAACAGCCTGCGCCACCATTCAAAAGCGCTATCGTTTTCCATGCTCATTTGCTTCGGTCGTTATCAGCAATTTTGTGGAAATCGCTTTCTACAGGAGAGATGGCATCATTTGTGTACTGCTGAACCTTATGGAAAAGTGCGTTTTTTTCTAGAGGATGCGCACAGAAATAGCGCAATCTGCTCGAGGGGAGGAAGTGAAGGAAAAGATTATGTCTTACAACCCTGAAACAAAAAAAAATCAGAAAGGCAGAATCTGAATTTTGTAGCAAATCTGAAACTTTAAATCGACCAGACGCAAATAACACTCGACCACAGCAGAACAACAAACAACCCTCTATCAATTTAGCATGCCAGTGAAACTTGACAATGAAAGTGAACTTCGTGAAGCTCAGGCCGCTTTGTTCAACGTGAACTCGCAGTAAGTTAATACCTAAATAATCTCAACGCTTGTGTTGTCAGCTAAAAGTATGGTAACTATATTTAGATCTGGATGGCTTTTGCTCAACTACGTCGGGCCTCACACTGTTCACTTCGCAGCCGGTGGAGAAGGTAATCAGGTTTTATTGCACAAATAAAGTTAAGGCCCCCCTTCCCCTCAGGAATCGCTGAAACTGCTCGGAACTGACTTTGCATCGTTGGATAGCCCAAATGTCCTCTACCAGAATATGTACTTTCAAGTTCAAAAATTTTTCGAAATCCATTTTTAAACTAATTAATACCAACATGACCCAAAATGACTGCGCCTTAGTACAGAGAGGTGGAAAAAGTGGGTGTTGGTCATAAAGCTGGGGGTAGGTACAGGAAGTGTACATCAGCTCCTCCTCTATTTTTTAAGACCAACCGCACCTTTCTACGACCTTCCTTCGATTTTTGGCGCCATTTTTCATGAACTCCAGCGGAAATGCGTTCATAGGTCCCCGGTTCGATTTCGGCCAAAATCACTTTCTCACGCCGTTTCCACCAAAAAACTATCTAGTCCCTCAATTCTTAACTAATTTGGCTCGGAGTGGTCTTAAAATGGAGAGCAGACGATTCTGCATCGCTGAACAGATCCTTTTTTTGAATTTCGATTCCTACGATTTGTAATTGAATTTACAAGTTGTGGAAAAAAGAAGAAAAACAAACCCGTTCACTAATTGTTCAATATCTTGGCTCAGGAATCGAAATTGAAAAAAAGCATCTGTTCAGCAATACATCTTGATGTCCTCTATCTTTTAAGACAACTCCGAGCCAAATCAGACAAAATTGAGGAACTAGATAGTTTTGGCGCGTGCCTCATTTTTGAAACTTGTAAATTTTTTTAAAATTCAACAACAAGCTTTGATTGGTTGAAACTCCGTATTCGATGCACATTGCATAGGTGCTCTATCACCACAAAAAGTTTCAGCTCAATCGGATGTAAACTGACGGAGATAATTCCTCAGAGGGGAGCTTAAATGTTTTTTTTCTATTATTTAGGTGATGTGGACGAACTTAAAAACCATCTAGAGAACGATCAAATCCAGTATGGTCTTGTACGTCTTGGCGGTATTCAAGAAAAGGGAACCCTCAAGGTTACGATACGTGATGTTTTTATCAACTGGATTGGTCCAGAAGTTGCCATTGCAGAGAAGGGCAAGAAGTCGGCACACCTAGGCGATGTTCAGGTGCACATATAATATTATCGAACTTTGTGCGATTCTAATATGTTGATTTTGTTTCAGACCTTCCTCCAGCCCTTTCATGCAGAAGTTACTGTCCACAACAAGGATAATTTCAACCACCAAACCGTTCTGGACAAATCGCACCCTCTTTCTGGCTCACATGTTATCGATTAGAAATTTCAAAACCTGTTCTGGTTGACTGCCCGGAGCGACAACACACATTTGCCAACAACACGACTCCCTACCTCGTGTGTTCATCTCTTTATCTTTGTCAACCGTTCATGTTCTATTTCGTCTTACATTGAATCCAGCTGACACCGCTCTTAGTAGAATAATTTTCAATAAAGAGTTCCTGTGTATCTTAGGCTCCTTCAGAGCTTGTTAAATTCTCATTCAATTTGTCTGCTGGCTTTTAGGCATCTAGTGAGTCCTCTCCTTTTATGACGCTGCTTTCCTTTTTCATAGTAATAGTTTTAACTGTACATTTGCACTGAAAACTTGCACACTGTTGAAATGTAACTCTTTGTTGAAAACAGACCGGCAGAGTTGGACTAGTACTGTTCCAAGTGCTTGACTGAAAGTTAAGTCAGTTGACTTGTCGGACACTTGAAACTAATGACTTCAACAAATCTCGACGAGAAGATTTGCGTCAAAAGTCAAGTTCTCATTCCTTTTTTTGCATTGTATCAATTATATTCATTTTGTAGAGCAGTGAGAAGCGAATCTTTGTATGATATCACTTTAGGAAAGCAATGGCTGAAATTAAAACGTTCACAGGAACCGCAAGGCTAGCATGGCACATTTTGATAGTTTGAAAGTCGGTGTACGGTCAAAATTTCCCCAGCTCACCAAAATGAAATCTCGTTGTTTAGAAATGTGCGCTAACTCGTGCACTTTCATTTTCATCGTTTTTGGATGAAATACAAAGAGGGGCAGATTTGCCATCAAAGCCAGTAGGATCCTTTGCTTTTATTCTTCTTCGCCGCCAAAGGTTCTGACTAAATATTCAAGAAATTATGTGGGTGTGTCGATAGTATAATCCTGGTTTCTAGCAACAGAACCTTTTCGATATGACTATAATGAACAACTTTGTGATTAGAATTTAGTTTGCACTAAGACATTCAGGCGTGTTCAAAAGTAATTGGGATCCGGAATTCAATTTATCAAAAGTCATTAGAGAGACTCTTTTTGGAAATGTTTTTTTTCTCAACAAAACGAATGTCGTCCATAGCGTACAGTTTTTTTACCTAGATCTTTTTCATAACTGTCTACCTGAAAATGTACTTTAGAGCTTTCGCATCTGTTCTTCATACAGGGCTTTAAGTAAAATAACCTTTAGCATCGATGGTCACACAATGATCGTAATCGAAGCAGATAATACCTATGTTGAACCAGTGACGGTACATATGCTAGAGAGGTGTTCTTGAATGGCATGTTCTATCTATCTCCAAGAGAATAGGAAATGCATGACCACCACTAAAGAAAGAATAATCAGATGAACTTGTAGCTCAGGTGTAACAAAGAAGAGCAAATGGCAGAATGGCCTTTAAAGAAGACACGTATTGAAACATGCGCCTGTACCATCCCCCTTGCCACAATGGATATAAAATTCCGTTTCTTAGAAAAACTTCCCATGTTGTCATTTATGTATTAGAAGATATTCGCGCAATTGAATTCTTCAAAGAAACAAACATTCTAAGGTTTCTCAATATTTTAAGCTACAGGTTTACTTCAAAGTAACAAAATAGCGAGCAGTTATAACAGATAAGCATCTGTTTAGAAAAAGGAGCATAGAGAGGCAACGTTGGAATTCCTTCATCGCAAGGTGTCAACTAACCCGCCTAAGGAAAGAACAGAATGCGAAAAGGCTATCATGCCTTCTTAGAGGCCGAATGAGAGAAGAAAAGGGTCTTTCCGGAGAGAGTTCGATCAAGAAGCTAGAGAGCACTCGACAAGTCGAAGGTAAAAAGTACAGCTTTGTCTTACGTTTGTTAACGTTCTTTAGATTTACTTCTTGAAAGTAACAGAACGAGGATTCATTATATTCTTCTACGATCGTTTTCAAAACATTAAAACCTGTCTCTCGAATTACTAGAAGCTTATTGACGAAAAAAGGAAGGAACGAAGGAAACAAAGGAAATATTACGAAGAAGACAAAAGACGTTGGGAATACAAAACTTACATGGGGACAGGAATAATCAATGTCTTTAAGATCGTGTTCGGATGAGATGCATACGACCAGCATGTTGGTTGGAGAAGAATGCTTCGGATGAGTGACAGGAAGCTAGGCATTGAGTTTAGTTTTAGCGCGAGGAAAACTCGTAGCTGAGGAAATGGAGAGGAAAACCTGTAATTCCTCGTTGAGTTTCCTCGTGAGAAAACTCATAGAAGAAAGGCGAGTAAATGTGAGTCGTCTCGAGGTTCCACGCGAGACGAATTTTCCTTGGAAGCTTTCTCCCAACAGATTCACATCTTTACTTTACGCCATGTTTGTCTACATGGCAAAATAATGAGGTGTTTACGCAGAACGTTTTTTCTTCCTTATCGACAGCAGTGACAGTGGTGCAAAGGTTTCATGAGTAATGTATGGCCCTAGAACCAGAAAGTTCAAAAACTGATGATGACAATCGGCGGGAGGAGGGATAAAGGAAACGAGTGAAGGTGGATGAGAGGGCACATTTTTTTCGAACCCACTGGTTTGGCCTCCCTCTTATTTGATAGGTGAATAAATGATTTGGCTCCTCGCAATGGCCGTAATGGAAGACAATTGAGGAGATCACAAAGGACATAAGTTAATTTCTTTCCTCCATAGTTTGACGTTTCTCGTCTGTTTTCTTTTCTTGAGCTGGGTAAGGGAAGAGAGAAAAGGTATGGGACGGCGGTGTGGCGCGGAAATATAAAACAACATAAGAGGGATAAGGAGGGAAGAGAGGAGGATGTGGGGTGTGGGTGTGGGTGTGGGTGGGTGGTGTGGGTGTGGAGTGTGGGTGTGGGTGTGGGTGTGGGTGGGTGTGGGTGGGTGTGTGTGGGTGGGTGTGGGTGGGTGGGTGTGGGTGGGTGTGGGTGTGGATGTATGTATCATTTCATCTATGTCCACACCCACACCCACACCCCCAGCAACAAAAGTATTTTGCACACCATGTTGAAAATTACAAATAAAAACATGAGAGACAATTTCCATAATATTGGTAAAAATCAATGCATAACTGTGAAATATCACTCACGAGGGAACCTCCCGAGGTGTCCAACGCCGATTTCCTTCA